TTTGTAGTTGTGGCTGTATCTTCTAATCTACTCCATTGATCTTCAATTCTGTTTTTATTCCAGTACCATGCTGGTTTTATCACTGTAGCTTTGTAATATAATTTCAAGTCAGGGATTGTGATACCACCTGCCTTAGCTTTGTTGCCCAGAATTGCCTTTGCTATTCTAGGTCTCTTCTGCTTCCAGATGAATTTTAAGGATGATTTCTCTAGATCTTTGAGGCATGCAAATGGTATTTTGATTGGAATTGCATTGAACCTGTGTAATAATTTTGGGAGAATGGCCATTTTCACAGTATTTGTTCTTCCTCTCCATGAACAAGGAATATCTTTCTATTTTCTAAAATCCTCTTTGATTTCCTTTTTCAGTGTAATGTAGTCTTCACTGTATAGATCTTTTACTTATTTTGTTAGATTGATTCCTAAGTATTTCACTTTTTTGGGTGCTATGGGGAAGGGTGTGCTTTCCTTTATTTCTCTTCAGCCTCCCTTCAGCTGAGATTATAGGCATGCATCACAGTGCCTAACCAGGTTTAAATGTTTGAGAGCATTAAGAACATTCTCTAATGCAGTGCATCAAATTTTTATTTAGTATTATTGCATTAGAAGAGAGGTGTAACATTGAACTTATTATAGACATTCAAGTTAGCCATGAATTTCCTCAATTGTTCTATGTCATGGAAGTGTCTTATTTCTCCTTCTATTTTCAAAGATAACTTTTCAGGATACATCAATCTAGGTTGAAAGCTGTTTTCCTTCAGGACCTGAAATACTTCACTTCAAGCTCTTTTTGACTGGAAGGTTTGTGTTGAGAAGTCTGCTGTGATTATGATAGGCTTTCCTTCATAGGTGATTTGTTTCTTTTCTCTGAAAGCTTTTAGTACTCTGTTTTTGTGCTAAATTTCTGACACCTTAATTATTATATGTATGGGTGAAGATTTATTTTGGTTATGATTAATTGGGGTTCCGTATGCCTCACTTATCTGCAGATCAGATTCTCTTCTCATGTTTGGAAAAGTTTCTGTTATTATTTCTGCAAATAGTCTTTGCAGGTCATTTGTGTTGACCCCTGTTTTTTCATTAATACCTATCAATCTTGTTTCTTTTTGCATCATCTTGCAGCTACTGAATTGTTTCCTGGTTCCTTGTTATTTTTAAGAGATCTTTTCTTTCATGGTCATAAGCTTCCGTCCTGTCTTTAAGGTCTGAGAGTCTATCTTCTGCTTCATTCAAGTAGTTTTGCCATCTTTCAATGGAATTTTTAATGTCTTGAATATCCTTTTGAATCTATTTCATATAATTCTGTCTTATACTGTTCATTCAAGGTTTCTATCATTTTCTTACGTTCTATTTTTTATTTAGATATTTAGATATAGCATTCCTTTCATAACGTTTGTCACTTCATTTTTTACCTGATTATTTATGACCTAATTTCCTCTGTAATTTCATGGAATTGTTTCTTTCCTCCCACTTGCTATCATTTCAGAAAGCTCAGTTGTGCAATTTCCAGTATCTTCCATTTTACTGTCTCTTGAGTTTGTTCTCAGCAGGCTCAAGAAAGAGCTTCTTGCTCTTTTGTTTTGTCATTTTCCTCACAGTGGCTGATCAGGCACCATCCTGGTGGGTTGCACTAGAATGCTGCACTGGGCAGCATTTCAATCCTCTGATATCTCCATGGTTAGCCAGGGTGCAGCCCCAACCTATGGCACCAGATCCTTGTTTTCTGTGGCCTGTGAGGCTGGCCTGGTGTTCTCCTGATGTACTGCGCTGGGTTGCTCTGGAATGCTGTTCTGGGCAGAGGTTGGATCCACTTGCTCCTAGCAGGAACAGACTTCAGGTATGTGTTGCTAGAGCCTAGGACCCAGCTAAGTGGTGTTGTGAACCTCTGGCACCCAGGTGGATACTGTGTCACCAAGGCCAAGCACCTGGCTAGTTGGAGTTCAGAACATCCAGAACCCAGGCAGCACAACCCTGAGTGTGGTATCACCTGGACCTTGCCATGACTGGGAGGAAGTTCATAGCATCTGGAGTGCGCAGCTAGCCAGAGTGCACTCTTGTATATGGTATTGGGGCCTAGCTCTTGGTTGGGTGGGGTTCAGAACTTCAGGGACCTGCCATGTGACTAGCTGGGCAGCAGCACTGGACTATGGAGCTGGGGCCTTGTGCTCTGATGGGCAGAGCTCAAATTCTCCAAGACTTGTCATGGCTCCCAGATGGGCAGCTCTGCGACTTTGGGCTTGGCTGGGCTTCATACCTCTGTGACCAGTGAGGCTGGCTGGGCATTACCCTGATGGATTGTGCTAGATCGCTGGACTGGGCAGAGTTCAGATCCTCTGTGCAGCTAGCAAGGAAGCAACTCTGGAATATAGTGCCGGGGCCTTCTGCCTGGCTGGGTGGAGTTCAGAACCTCTAGATCCCAAGCAGCTAGACCGAGCATGATCCTGAGTGTGCTGTTTTTGGCTTTATGAGACAGGGTCTTGATATGCTATGCAGTTCAGGCTAGCCTTGGACTCACTTTGTAACTCAGGTTGGTCTTGAATTTGCAATGATCCTCCTGCCTCTAGATGCTGGGATAAAAGGAGTGTGCCACCACATCAGGCTGGATTTGCTTTTGATATGTCCTCCCTTTGAGACTTTCTTTCACCCCTGCCTCAAAGTAAATTCTTTTCTCCAGCACCAATTCCAGACACACCCTTGCCATTGTCCCTAGACAGCTTCTCTTGCCTACTACCTTTATAGGATGGCCTTTCAATAGTGGTTTTCCTGTGAGGATGTGTCTTACAGTATCAATTTAGTAAGCAGTGTTAGTTTTGACTGTATCTGGACATCTGGACTTTATCTGTCCCTGCTAGAAACAAAAAGATCCAACCTCTGTTCAGCCCAGCATCCCAGAGCAACCCAGAGCATTATATCAGGGGAACACATAGCCAGCCTCACATACCACAGATGTCTCTCTGTTGCTTCTTAGCCTTTGAGTAGTGAGTGTGGACATGGTGCACACTGTGTTAGAATCAGTTTTAGCTTCTGCCTGTGTGGACCATGAAAAATTAGACACTAGTGATTCTGACAGGTCTAGTATATAAACTGGGGCTACAGGATGCTCATTGTGTGGCTACTTCTGTCATGAGAGTTTTTGCTACATTGAGTGATAGGCATTTCCTCAACCACTGTTGGTTCAGATGCTGTGAATAGTAGTCGTGTCTAGCACTTTGTTAGAATGAATGGTAAAAGGCTTGAAACCTTTGCTCTCTATAGTCAATAGTGTGCACCCAGTCATGGCATGGGGAGAGGCAGTGGTAGCAATCACATCACATATGTTAGTTGCACCAAGTCCTGACAGTAGATAGGGATCAGAAAAGGCACAGGGTTTGATCAGTGATGGGAGCTACAAATATATGGCAGTAGAAAATGTATTCTTCTCCACTGTTACACTTGATACAGGGGAACAGGGGAATGAAATTGCTGACTTACTATATGTCTGATACAAGTTCGTGTTCTCTAAAATCAAACAATAAATTTTAGGAACAATGGAGGCTAAGAGCAGAAATATTTATAGAGAGGAAGAAAACTTCTGAGAGAGAGACAGAAGGGGTCCCAAGTGGATTGCCAAAGATTCTGTCTTTTCTAGGGATTTTTAAGAGTGAAACCATGAGGTGAGGTGGGTGTAAGGTAAAGAGAACTGGGAACTCACAAGGCAGATGGGCATGGTTGGGTCAGAACTGTGATCTACCAGTCAGATTAATTGTTCAGGTAGAATTGACCAAATGAGGGACAAATGGGAAATCAAGTCATAGTAAACAGGCATTCTTACTAGGGAGTTGGGATGGTGACTCCTGGCTTCTCAAGATAATCTGTACCTAACCTATAATGTTTATATTTAGGGTGTGGTTGCATTTGTTTTGCTTCTGTTTTGAGATCTGGCCCACTCTGTGCTGGCTTCCTTGAGGACCTAGCCCTGTCTGACTGCCTATAATATTTCTAACTAGCTCAGCTGCCTGTATCACCTATCCAGGAGCATTCAGCCAGAGTCAAGCACGGTTGACCCTGATTCCACCTAACTGCATTCCCTGGAGTAGGGTTATAGATGAAGCTTCTCTTCCTCAGCTACCTTCCGCTATAGTGCCTGCCCACATCTCACTTGCCCCCTGAGCTGTGCATTTCTAGAAGCAAAATGATAACCAGAGCCACAGCTTTCTTCAGGGTTGTCTCACCAGGTCCAGCCATGGGCAGGGCAGTAGCCGGAACTGTGGCAGCAGACCTGTGAGTTCAGTGCAGGAGAAGAATGATAGGAACCGGTGGGAGCCTGCCCTCAGTCCTGGCACTGACATGAGTACACGCATGTTAGTCAGGGCCATTAATACAGAGGACAAGCACTTCAGTTTTCTGGTTTTCAAGGACAACTCTCTGTTCTTAATGTCACAACCCCAATCCATTACAGTTCTTGGTTCCCAGAAAGCTTAGGTCTCAGTCATTGTTTTGGGTCCATTTGAGATTGTGAGGTGGCTGTCCCTTAGGTCTGTGTAGTAAAATGTTTATGAAGACCCAGGGATGAAAATATGCAAAATTTTCTCACTCCTGGACAGTCTACCCTGACATCATCTCACTTTTCAAGTTGGCTTCTGGGTGTGTTGCCTTGAATGTTTGCTGGGAGATGATGTGAAATTAATTTCCTAAGCAAAGTATACAATTAGGGTGGAGTGTCAACGTGACTGGCCTGGGATGTTCCAAGGAGGACTGGTGGAGCACACTGTGAAATTCTCTAGGTGGGCGGCGGAGCCATAGCCCTGGGATCTATGTCTGGTTTCACATTCCTTTGTCTCTGGCACTGTTTTCCTGCTCTGCTTCCTGGTACACATGAATTAAGCACACCCTTGCTCTACCACACCTGTCCTCCATGACGTTTCTGCCTTTAAGTCAGGTGAACACGAAGCAAATTAAGCCTCTTTTCTTTTAAATTGTGATTGTCAAAGTATTGTGTCAAGTAAAGCATTGTGTCAAAGCTTGCTTTGACAGCAGGTGCAATAAACTTGAAATGATACAGAGAAGATTAGCACAGCTCTTGCACGAAGATGGTGCAAAAAAAATGACTGATACACAAGGTACTGTGCAGATTTTAGGGTGTCTAAATGCATGCCTGTGAGGACTGGGAAACTTCCCAGTAGCTAGGATTGCCACTATCCACACTGAATGTATTGTGTGGGACTCTATCACCTTCACCTCTGTATATAGGAGATTCACCCTCCCCAAGCTATGGAGCCAGTATGGCAGGGGCCAGCGTATGTTGTTTCTGTGCTGGTGCCTCAGGTGTCTGACTCTTACAAAGTTTCCAATCTGTGTCTTTCAAACTTTTAACATCTTCCCATTGCCACTAATTCAAAGTAGAGCTAGGTACTTTTTAAATTTTGTTCCCTTTTTTCTGGAGGAGAAAGAGAATGCTGGGCATCTTTATTGTTAACCCCATCCCAATTTTTACTTCTAAATACCATTGTCAAGTAAAATAAAAATATTTTAATAAAAAAATATTGATTCAAGACCGGGAATACCAACCTATAATAGCTTTTTACCCCTGAAAGTAAGAAAATGATCAACAAATTTTGAGAATTTGCTAAAGAGTTACCTCCATTTATTTACTATGGAAGAAATTTATGCATAAAATATTATAGCTACAAATTAAAGGCCATTAAGTAAAATAGGAATCAGTGGCCCTACTTATGTAAATAACAAATTAATAAAGCATGGATTGGAATAAAGGAGAAAGTAATTCCTTAGAGAATCACAAATAAAAACGTACAAGTAATAATGGAATTGGAAAGTCATCATTTGCCAAATATAACAATAATTAAAACAGAAAAGAATGATTTACAGAAAAATAAAATGTTCACATAATTTCAAAGTATATGTTCCCTAAATACTATTAATTACAAAGAAAAAAAACAGTAACTATATTTAAGTTCCACAGCTTCCTGGGCGATTAAAGTTTACATCACCAGTAATAGACAAACTGACAGTCTCTCTACATGATATGTTGCACTGAGATAAACTCAGCATCACTTCTGTGATATTCTCGCCAGACTCTAATCACAAGGAAATGCCAGACAAACCCAAACTGAAGGGCAATCCACAAAATAACTGGTTTGTACTTTTCAAAACTGTCAAGGTCATGAAAGCTAATGAATAGAGTGAGGAACTATTCCAGATAGAAGGTGACTAAGAGATCTGACAACTAAATACATTTGATTTTTAGTTTTTGCTCTGGATGAGAAATAAAAAGCATTTTAATAAAGCACAATTAGTGAAGTTTAAATTTGGTTTCTAGGGTAGATGATAGTATTGAGACAATATTAATCCACTGTTCATGATTTTGTAGGAAAGGGTTTCTTTTAGGAAAGAAATATTAGAATATTGGGTATAAATAGCACCATATTTTCAACTTAGTCTCAACTGGATCAGAAATAAAGGTATATATGGACACATTTGTATAATAAAACAAATGTGGTAAAATGTTAACATTTCAGGCAGCTAACTCAACAATTTGTAGCTATTAAAGCCGAGTCTTACATTTTTTCTTCTTTACCTTTAGGGAAAAATAGATTGATAAACATTTTTATAAAGTGCTGCTTTTGTTTCTGTAGAACGTATTTCCCAAATTGAGTTGCTACTTCAAAGTAAATGCTTATTTTTCAAAGGTGTGTTTGATCACCTCTTTAGTTTTACTTTTAAATGATACATAAGTACATAAAATTGTGTATATGGATGGGGTGTTATATAATGTTTGAATACACTGTGCAGTGTTTGAGTCAGCTCAAGCAGTTCTATCTCTTCAAATATTTATCATTTCTTCATGGTGAATGTTATAAAAACCTTTCCTAGAAAAGTACAATATGCTTTAGTTACCTACTGTTATCTTAAAAATGACTGCAATTCACACAGCCAACAAACAACAGAGTACACTGCTGCATCTTCAACACTGATGCTGTCACTCGTTGTCAAGGTTATTGACAGAATTCGTCACTGCTGACGAATTTCTACTACTGTGAATTATCCACTTATATGCTTCATTCTTTTCTCTTTACTTACATTTTTACTTATTGTTTTGGGAGATATTCACTTATATTTGGCTTCTAGTTTATAGCTTACATTTTGACTTCTGTTAATGGTTTACATTGGCAGTCCACATATGGTATATATTGCCACTTATGTGATCAAATGTGGCTATTTTTCTTTGGAGTCTCCTAACCATTTGTACATGGTATCATTTTATAATTAATACATACTGGTATTTATTGTATTTATTAATGGTATTTAGTACATAAATCCAGCCAAGCATAGAGTTTACACTGATTATGTTCAAAGAAAATCATCAGCCCCTATCTCTTTCTCACACACGTATTTCCCAATCCCCAATAAACATTAATCCACTTTCAGACCCAAGTATTATAGGTGTTGTAGTCAGAGGTTGCAAGGGAAACAATTACATATAGGACAAGACACATAACTTATACTATCCTTTATAATGTTCACCCAAGGAGTCAAATACAAAGAAAGTGCAGGATATCTGTAGACATACCAAAGACCTAGAGATTCCAGTTGAGTGCTTGGATCCCATAGCAATGTCCTGTATGAGTTCAGCTAAAGACCTAGAGCCTGTAACAATGCCTCCCACGAATTCAGCTGGAGGCCTAGAGCCCATAACAATGACTCATGCAAGTCTGTTTCATGGATCAGCGCTGGGAAGCCCCAAAGGTGTCAGCAGTGGCAGCCAGAAAGTCTGTGCCAGTGGGATGAAGGATCTGTGCCAATAGACTAAGGGTTCTGCACTGAAGCCAAGAAGCCACACTCAAATAAGGAATAGAGCTCAACCTGAAAAGTACAACAGCCATCCCCAGTGACAGCAAGGTCCCAACTCCTTACAGGACGCCAGTGTGACCAGCAGCACTCATCTTTCCCTCTGGAGCCAGGAAGCAATGCTCAAGTAAGGAACAGAGCTCCCCCAAAGTGAACCACAGCCATTCTTGACGACAAGGTCTGAGCTCCTTTGACAACAATAACAGCCAAGTTCATACCAGGAAAAAGGCTCAACCAACAAGCTTCTCCGGAACCCACAGCAACAGGAAAACCAACAGCACCAAACAACAGCATTACTCTTTTTCAGTTCTTCCTTTGTGCTGGCAAAAGCTGTCAGGCGGGCCTCCACTCAGCACCACACTGATTCAGTTCAGATAGTGTTTAGTTCACCACCATTTTTTTAATCCACCATAATAGGCTTCACATAAAACAGAACATGAGATTCCATGCTAGGCTTTATTTTACTGAAAGAATTTTTTTCCCTAAATTTCATTAATTGCTTTATTTAGGTATTTTTATCCTTTTGGTTCAACTTTGGAAAGTTCAGAAAATTTTGCATTACATCCCAGGTTTGCAATTTAATAGTGTATAGTTTTCATAATAATCTCTATTGATTTTTGTTTTCTTGTAATTTCAGATATAATGTCTCCTTTCATTCTAATTTATTTTCAATTTATTTACACACTAACTTACATATTAATGGGATTCAGGGAGATATAAGTGTGTATATTGTGCAATGATCACATCAGACACCTCCCAACCTCCTCTGTGCCACACCCTTCCCAAACCCAACTCATCCCTATCCTAACTAGTAGTGTTGTGGCTTGGCATAACTGACGCCATCTTGAGCCTTGCATTTAACTAGTGCTCTGCATTTGACTCAGAAAAATGGAAAAGTACTCAAGGTATAAGTCTCATGAGAAAAGAAGAATGAGCTGTACCTACAGGAGAAAAATTAACCTGTTCAACAAAAGAAGCAGGATACAGGTGTCAACTGAAAATTAATGAAAGATTCAAGCTAAATTGTTTCCAACAGGATGTCTTTTGTGATTCTGTCTTTTAAAAACTCTGTAACTTTCCAGTTCAGTGCCACCTGTTTGGACCCTGAACCAGGAAGGTCAGTATACCAGTGGTCCTGAGCTCAGTTAATTAAATTATTCCAAATTTATCAATTTGGCTGCTTGGATTCCTATATTGTTGTTCACAAACCCACCAATAGAATGTCAAAGTTCACCAAGTGAGAGAGAATGTACATTATTTTTTTCTCTATCTGGTTAATTTTACTTAACGTGTCTTCCACTTGTACCCATTTTTCTGTAAGTGGCAGTGTATCAGTCAGTGCTTACTAAAGAAACAGATTTCATGTAAGGTACAAAAATACATAAGCATATGCAAGACTAGCTTACAGTGACTGCCTGCAGAGTCAGGTGTGGAAAAGTGCAAAAGAGCTGACTGTGCTGGAGAGCCAGAGGGTCTAGAGCCAAAGGATCTGTAGGGCTGGAGCCCACCGTGGTGACCTTTGTAGTTCATATCAGGAGGCTGAAGTGCGTGTCTGCACTGGAAGCCAGGAGATGACTTCCAATGTGAAGGTGAAGACTGGATTTCTCTGAAGAAACAGAAGCATGCCTTCCTGGGTGTCTTTTTATTCCATTCAGGCAGCAAGCCTACTGGTTGCTGTCACTCACACACAGGGTGGGTCTTCTGTCTCCAATAAATCCTTTCAGTGACACCCAGAACTATGTGAATCCAATTTAGTTGGGTGTTTCTTACTCAATTGGACACACTCAGTTAATGATCACTGGTAGAACTTCATTCTTCCTTGTGGCTGAAGAAATATTCCATTGTATGTGTATGTATACTACATTCCATTGTATGTGTATGTATACTACCCATTCATAGATTCAAAGGCACATGACTGATTCCATATCATATGTCTTATAAATAGTGCTGCCATAGACACAGGCATGCAGGTATCTCTTTGGTAGGCTGAATTCATCTCCTTTGGAGAAATTCTTAGGGGAGGTATAGCTGCTTTATGTGATGGATTCATTTTTAGTGTTTTTGAACTTCTTCCATGATGTTATTTATTGTGGTTGTACTAATTTACATTCCCACAAATAGTATATGAGTTTCTTTTCATATACATTCTAATATTTTAAAAAATTTTTCATAGTCTTTTTTACTATGGTAACATGTAATCTCATTGTAGTTTTGATTTGCATGTCCCTGGTGGTTAATTAAATTGATCACTTTTCAAACA